GACTTGACTTGACTTGACTTGACTTGAACAGACATAGCATGAGCAGACTTGACACAAACAGACTAGACTCACCAACAGCGGGTTAAATACATTCAATACACGACGAGGGCACAATGGGAACATGAAGCTACTTATAGAAAACAAGGAGGGTCACATGACATGAACAAACCAATGGGGAACAAGACACATGACTAAGACTACCAATCAGAACATGACACATACACAAGGCAGAGAGACATGAGGCAAGGGAAGCATGACACTAACATGGACCATGAAACAATTACAAAATAAAAGACATGGAAAACATGAACATGAAACAAAACACCACATTACAGACTGATACTCGAGCCAACGCTGCTCTAACTGTCGACTAGCAGTGGGAGTCAGATTGCCCCCTAGTGGATGGCTAAAGATTTGTTAACTCATATTCATAAATTCTCAAGAGAACGTCTCTGAATTAACTGATGCTCGCGCCCCCCCTTAACAGGTGCTGGCGCCCCCCTGGGGGGGTGCGCCTCACAGGTTGAAAACCCCTGAATCAGGTCAATACTTGCTGCTACTTCCAGTTTCTGTAATCTTTCATTAACAGAAGATGGTTCATGACGGTCTTGTTACAACAAATTCCAATGTCAAACAACCCTTTCTTATCGCACATCTACTTCTGTCAGGACCACTATCGTCAAAGATGATTGACAATTAGCATACAGTTTGGATTGGCGGTATGGTTCTGTTCTGGGCAAGAACTCCCTGCGCATCCATGCAGCCTAGCATGGATGAGAGCAGCGATAACCCCCCCAGGGTAAACAGAACAGAACTAACATAAATGTTTTGCAGATATTGTTAAAGTTCAATAATTTTATGTACACATTTTAGAATTAGAATGATTCAAAGGATAATCAGAAGGCTGAATCCTGACTGACAGAGGAGCTGGGGGTGGAGGAGGGTAATTAGCTATTGAGCAATGTGAAAACCGCTGATAACACTGAGGGACCTTATTTATGAATGCTTAGATAGGTGTCGTATTCCTATAGGTAGATGGGGATCAGCTGATGTGAGCTTGACTGACGTGACCTGCCAGAACTAACGCTACACTTGATTTTCATTGGTACATACCTCTTATTGAGAATATTTCCTAGTGCACAGAAATACTGATGTCAGTTGGATGTTATTAGAAGATCTCTCTAGACACTTCACTCGCCATTTCATTGATCAGCTAGATCATTATTTCTGGACTGTAAGAGGATCATGAGAACATATCTTAATGGCCTCAGATCTATTGTGGCATGACTAGCTTGTTTAAACAATTTGCTGGAGAGATCTGCCGACTGTCCATTTATCTTGCTTCTCTTTCTGTTGTGGTGTTCACTTTTCCTCACAGTTGAGCCAGCCAAGGTAACGTTACTGGGCTCTTTTGAAGCCATAGAGGGAGAGGAGATCAATCTGCTCTGTTACACTTCCTCTAGTAATCCTCCGGTCCACATCCGCTGGTGGCTCGGGTTCAGGGAGCTCAACAGTACGGATGTTACCATCTCTGAGGTATTTAACCTAACACTTTACAGTCAAAATCGAGGATGTGAAACTATTCTCTTACAAAAATGGCCATAATTTTTGACCATTGTTTTGTACATTATTGACACAGACTTTACCTTTTCTGATCCACTTCGGCTCTTTTCAGCATTTTTTTAAAAATTTGACACTGTTTCTGTGTCTTGCTTTTGATAGGTCCATCTAAACCCTTTCACAAACCATTATGCCAACAACGAAAAGCTTTGTGAGGAAGTTAGAGCAAGTTATTTATTTTTCATTGGCTCAAGTTAAAAGATATAGATGTGAATCATTACCCTACATTTTTTTAATTGAATGAATGAAAAAAAAAATTCAGTGTAGTTACTACATAATATTTAGTGAGATCAGGGGCTTTTAGAGTCCCTCTCTTTTTTTTTTTTATCTCGCTCTCTTCCTCTCCAGAGGTTAATTTGAATGAAACATAAGTGAATAAATGCCGACCTAATAAATGTTCATTTGGAGGTGTTTTACATCTGATCTTACATTTAAATGCTGGTGTTAATTTATTATTTTCTTTTTTTTTCCCTCAGAGCTAGAGCTTTTCATGATATATGTATATATTTGTATTAGTTTGGCCATAATTAACCATGAAGCCAGGGTCAACCCTCTAAGCAGGTGTCAATTAGAGCTTAGCAAATGAGCAGAATTAAAAACTTTGCCAATTAAAATAATGAAAATGATCAAGGCAAAGCTCCTTTTCAACACTTTCCCCAGAAGGACATGTAGAAATCAGTGTTTATAGTCAATTTGTGTCACTAATCTATGTATTAAACTCTTAAAAACATTTCAAAACCTTGGCTTTGCTAAGTTTGCCTCACTTAAATATGTTTATGGTCATTTAGTGAGATTATAAGAGCCACAATGGACGCCAACGCATTTGTCAAAATGATTTTCTTTGCATTTAATGATCAAATCACATGAACTACAGTATATCTGATTAAAAAATTGATGCACAAGGCCAGTTTCAAGAATGTCTACCATTAAAGAGACAGTAAATCACGGTAGCATAATTTAATGTTTCCACTCTTGTTTGCAAAGAGTACACTTTTCCTTATAAGAGCCCTTTACACAGACCATATATTATGCTCAATAAAAATGAAAGGTCTCATGAAATATTTGTGTTGCAGGGGGATAATGGTGGGATGATGACGATGTCTAACTTGACGCATAAAGTGTCACGTGAGGACAACGGTCTTTCTCTGACTTGTGAGGCGTTCAACAAAGGCACCCACTTCTCTAGCGTTCGGTCTGAAGAGCTCATTGTTTACTGTGAGTGACCACTAACATTTTTATCTAACATTCAGGTAGAATGATCCCTGATAAATTCATTAATTCTGTTGCTTAACTACCAAGGTGATTGGTTTGATTCCCAAGAACTTTATTTTTTAAAGAAATTAATACTTATTTTCAACATGGATGCATTAGATTGATCAAAAGTGACAAGACATTTAACATTTCACAAAAAAATTCAATTTCAAATAAATGCTGTTCTTTTGAACTCTCTGTTCATCAAAGAATCCTGAAAAAATATATGTTGCCGTTTCCACAAAAATATTAAGCAGCACAACTGTTTTTAACATTGATAATAGTAAGACATGTTTCTTGAGCAGCAAATCAGCATATTAGAATGATTTCTGACGGATCATGTGACACTGAAGACTGGAGTAAGGATGCTGAAAATTCAGCTTTGAGCACAGGAATACATTACATTTTTAAATATATATTTTTTAAATAAAACAGTTATTTTAAATTGAATTAATATTTCACAATATTACTGTTTTTACTGTATTTTATTTGAATAAATGCAGCCTTGGTGAGCGTAAGAGACTTCTTTCAAAAATATTTAACAATTATTACAGATCCCAAACGTTTGAACAGTAGTGTATTTTGAGAGAAATGTATACCATGAGCCCATTATAACGTTATCTAAACTAAATGTACATTTAATAATGTGCTTTTTTGCAAATACACAGCTAAATACAATATTACTAAGTCCAAGACTCCCAATGGGATTTTGCTGTACATCTGATTAATTCACATACATAGACTGCAGAGTATTGCCCCTTGGTCCACAAAACACAGGCAATACATGTACATTTCTGGTGAATTTTGCTCCAAAATTACTCCAAAAGTCATTTTTAATGCTGAGAAGTGTGCAATAATTGATGTCTTCTGATGTGGATCTGTACAAAAAGAGCAGAAGTTGTGCATGAGGGCTCAATTAAAGCTCTTTGTAGAAGCAGGAAAGTGCCAAATGTTTGCATAGGCTGATGGGCAGTTTGGCAATCTATCTGAGACCTTTTTTAATGTCTGTATTAGGTTTCGACTGGCAGCCGGTGATCACTAAGTCATTACCTTGTTAGAGTCAGTCTCTGGCGCTGTCAATATGTGGCCAGTTGAAAGAAAAAAAACTTTACGGCGATTGTGAGCAGATCAGTTGTAGTTTTTTACCAGCTAAGCCAAATGATATGGCTCAGCTTTTATTTCTAAAGAAATTCAGCTATAAAACTACAGTGTTTGTGAGAGGAGGACTGGTCTGTTTCGAGTTTTATAGGTTTTCAGTTTTGTCGGATGGTCCCTGCGGGGACCTAACGCATGTCGGGCAAACAAAAAGATTTCACAGCTGGTGAACGCTGTTACTGTGAAGGCCTTTATCGAATATTCATAGTCTATTTTTGCGATATTACTCCAAGGGGAAGTTTTTGAAATTATTCTTCTTTATATAAAATGTCCAGGTGAAATAACATTGTGAATTGCCATGACTTTTATGAAGCTTGATTTTTTTTTCTCTCTCTCTCAGGCTGAAGGGAGTTGAACAGGCTCCTAAAAAGGCTGAATTTGGTGGAATGTCCCGAACCAGTAAACTGTCCCTCACTCTTGAGTCCCATCACTGGAAGAAAAGGATCACCTGTCAGGCCTTCAGTAACGTGCTGTCCGAGGGTGTCAACAACTTCTACACTCTCAATGTGCTCTGTGAGTTTTCTGAACACGTTTGAATGGGATTAATTTGATAAATAATATAGTCAGCTGACAGTCCTGTAAAAACACAATGTCATAATATAGTCAACAAAAATAATTGTTCATGAATGATTGCACGTCAGTAGATAATCAATTAAAAATTTGCTAGAGCTGAGTAAATCTTTGAATAGACATTGCAAAAAGTGGCCTTAGACGTCAATACTAAACCTTGTTTGCTTTATTTCCGTGTTACTGTATATAAGTCATTTTACAAATGGTTTTGTCACCCTCTACACAATAAATAAAACTTATTTAGTTAATTGCCAAATAAATAAATACATTAATTATTCGTTTATTTATTTATTTATTAATAATGGGATCATTTATTAATTTTTAATAAATAAATAAATAAAATAAAATAAATGATGGGATAAATGTAGTATTTATTATCCCTTATGTCCAATAAATGGGTTAATACAATAAAGTATCCCATTATTCATTCATTCATTCATTCATTCATTCATAAATTGCACACTTTATTTATTTATTTTATGCTATATTTGAGATAATGATTAAGTAAACCATCCCATCCCACAAATTAATAATTAACAGGATAATAAATAAACAAAAGTATTTATTTATTTATTTAGAATTAATAAACCAAACAAACAAACAAATAGTACTTTTAATAATTTATTATCTCATTAATTACTTGAATTTGTTAATTTAATTACTTAACTAATTTAATTTGTGTTCTTTTGTGTTCTTATTTCATCCATTTTTATAATTGATAATTGATCATTGTAATTGATAGCCTTAGTTTTAACATGGGTTTGGTTTCTGTAGCTTTCTGTTATTTTGCTCTGGCAAGTATTCTGATGTATGTTTGAATGAGTCTATACCTGCTAATATGTATGGCGAGTATGTGGTATGATGTGTGCATGTGTGTCTTTGTGTCTGCAAAATGATTATGGTTTGACTTTGATCTTGTTTTGTCTGATCCAGCCAGCCACCTCTTCAAAGCCTAACACACTTTGTGAGCGTGACGGAATGTCACTGTGTATCTCTGTGTGTGTGTGTGTGTGTGTGCACACTCTTTGTCTGTTTCAGAACCTCCACAGTCTGTGATTTAAATATCTGTCTGTGTAAGAACAGACCATAAATTATCACTTTGCCTGCTTTATTGTCTTATATTAAGATAATATTTCATCTTTCACTTTCTTAGTGTTTGTGAATATATTTTAGCTTGTGTGTGTGTGTCTGCTTGTAGATGTAAGCAAATCGTTTGTGTTAAAATCTGCATTTGAATCCTCATTTGCTCTGAAATTACACAATGTACATTAATGAGACAAACACATAGAAGCCCCCCAGAGAGATCAACAGCACAATAAATCATACGCCTTATTCACAACAGACCAGTGCAGCGCCAGACGTTAGAGAGGATAACGACTCAAAATCTGCTGCTTTCTGAAATCAGTTCTCATGAGCATAATGCAAAATTAACTTTTTGCCACATGTGAACTGAGAAAATGTTACTAGCTGTAAATTGTGAATTTCAGAACATATTTTGAACGTTTCTTCAGTAGATCATCTGTATCTCCTGGACTTGTTTAACATCAAAACAATATAATATTGTACTTGTATTGCAGTTTCAACTGTGTGTGTGTGTGTGTAAAATGTATAATTGAATTAGGATTTAATATTTAAAATAAATAAGAAAGTGTGCCAATGAAAAATATTCAATATTAAAATATTGAAAATATTTTGGTTTGTTTTTTAATCAATTATAAATATGATATTAATTTCAAACTGAAGCATCAGTGTTTATATCTCTAATTCATAGGGTGTTAATGGCAGTGCAGAGTAAGTGTTAGTCTTTAATTAGAGTTGCTAATGTATTTACTTATTTGTTAGATATGTTGCTTATGTACAGTGTGGTGCGACAAGCACTTTGCTTGGTTTAACTGTTGTGCTCATTGTCAAGTTTAGAAATAGGGTTCCTTACATATTAGCACCTTCAAATGAATGTGATGTATCTGTGTGTGTGTCATTCAGTTCCTCCGGAGTTTTCGGATGAGCAGCCCGATCAGGTCCCAGTCATTGAGGATGAAACCGCCGAGCTTCCTGTCAAAGTCTCCGCCAATCCAGATGAAATCACTTGCGAGTGGATTTTTCAGGGCGAGAAGCTTGTGAAAGGTAGCAGACAGTTCTACATGACATTACGAACCATGTCACCCTCACAGGCGCTCTAAACACAAACAGACGTAAACACACATTGCCATATGCATTCTGAATAAAACATCGATGGTTTCTGGCACAGCACCTTGGCAGATGTGATCTCGTGCTAATGTATGCAGCCTAAATGAGCGTCGCTGTCGCTCTGAATGCAACACAGCGCTTGCGGTCTTCATCTCCGTGCTGAAAGCTTCTCTAAGCAGTCTTGTGTCGAGGTCCTTGCGGTATTCCTTTAAAGAGGTTTCTCTGGGGGAAGGGTTTTAGCGGATAAGCCAGCTGTTTCAGTGTGTATATATGTGCAGGATTTGAATAGTTCCTTTTTGTGTTTGGTTTTGTGGATTTGTATTGTCCCAGCTCTGTGATTCACTTGTTCTGTGTGGGTTGTGTCACGTCTGTATGTTTGTGACAGAAAGAGATCCTCGTTATCACTTCGACGACTGGACCCTGGAAATCGTGAACGTTTCTCGGCAAGACGGGGGCGAATACATCATAGAGTGTTCCAACGCTGAGGGGAAGAACCGCACAAAGCTCAAGCTGGATGTACAGTGTGAGGAACTCAAAACTAACTCTGACACCTCAGCCTAACTAGGCAAATACCTGCAAATGAGGATTTTTTTTTAAAATTGGCCTTTTTTAATTACAATATATATATGCAAATTTATTTATGGTTTTAGTTAAGGCTAATAACCCTGAATTATTTAATAATATTACATATAAATAATACATATATGCAAAATATAATATATAATGTTACATTATATTTTGCATATATGTATTATTTATATGTAATATTATTAAATAATTTGGGGTTATTAGCCTTAACTAAAACCATAAACAAATTTGCATTACTTAAAACATATAATAAAATATTATTATTATTAATAATAATAATAATAATAACAATAATAATATTAATCTTTTTAGATACTAATTACAAAATGACAAGTATAGGCACCCAAAATGTCTTGACAGTGTTGACAGTCATGGATGGTTGGGAGACAAACTCCCAACTAAAAAAACTAAAAAGAAAGATGACACAGAGTCAACATCTTTACTAATAACCACTAATGCCACATATGTTGAATATTGAATATGTATAAATGCTAATTAATCTAATAAGGATGTATTTTCACAGTACTGTGAGAAGCCTCTTTTAAGGTTAAAATGCCATCAGTCGGGATCGTGTGAAATATTTTTTCCTCAGTACAAATGACCACAAATTTGTTCTCTACGCTGTTCTCAATATTTGTACCACATGTTTATTTGCCAATTCAAACCCACTCACAGACGTACACACACTTGAAAGTGAAACGAAGAAAAAGAGAGGGACACAGGGAGAAAAGAAAGAGCACTCCCACTTCCTTAATGATTTAATAATAGCACTCCTTCAAATCTAGGCCTGCATGTTCCTGCAAATCCTTCTGCACTAATGGATCTCCACGTCCTCATACAATAGCATCTGACAGTGCTAGAGATTCATTATGTATGGGCCATTTGAATAGCTTTTACCAGTGGTGCTGTTTTCCATGTAGGCCCCCCTCTTTCTGCCCATTAGGAACAATGCAGAGGAGGATTGTACACGCCAACATGCCAGAGATTACGCTGGTGGTAATGGCCCACTTGGTTGAGGATATGATCCTCCTGGGGGCTGGGATGGAGATGAGGCAGAGGAGTTTGCTGTACGTGCCTGAGACAACCATTTTAGGTCCACTTTTCTAGGAACTTCAATACAACTTATTTTCCTGTATGTGAGGACACTCAAAGCAGTGATATTTCATGTTTTAATTTTTTTTTATGTTTTATAGTTATGTAGTTTGTCATAGTTGTTATATATTTTTTATTTTTATCTTTTATAATTATAGTTATTGTATTTATAGTCAAAGCAGTGATATTTCGTTATTAGATTTTTTTTTTCAATTTCATTATTAGATTTCCCAATTCTTGATGTAAGATGTGAACTAAATTTGTTGCTATTCCTGTACAAACTGAATGAGTTTATATGCAGTTAACCATGAAACATTCTCGCTAAGTATTCACTTAATTATTGAATATAAGTTGCCTTGTCAAGGATGCGTATATTTCTGTATCTGTCTTTGAAATAGAGGTTTATTAGAGCTCTGGGAGAAATAACCTGTATTGCTAACCGGCATAAATGTAATTAATATTGACAAATTAATAGCAATTCTGTTATCGTATCAGCACGGATGATCTGTGTAGGCCTTAGCTGGTCAGTGCAATCATCTAGATATATAATTGCTCAGCTATAAAAATAGTTATACATAGTTGAATGAAATCAGCTTCTTAGTTTTTTTTAGATCTACTTTGCTTCCGCATATGCACTTCTTCATTAGTGTTCTCTGATCCCTTTTAATAATACAGTTGTCCTGACAGAGTGTGACAGATACTTTTTGAGGCGGCGTTAATTCTGTAGCCATTCGAGAGCGTTGTTAATTTGCCTCAGTAAGCATTACCTCTTATATTCTAACATGTGCGGCCTGTGCTGTAGCGACGGCGTCTTGAAGACTGTTCGCAACAAGCCATGGAGGAATACATGAGGGTTTGAAATAACCGTAATAGGGACGACATTACAATAGACCTTGATTGTTAAGGCTTTTTTTCACTGCCTGTGAATAATTCATCGTTATTAGATTTTTTTTTTCAATTTCATTATTAGATTTTTTTTTATATTTTTGTTTTGATATTTTTTATATTTATAGCAAATGCAGCAATTCGATTTTTAAAAATGTTTTTGTTTATTTTTATATTTTATAAATATACTTATTCTTAGTCAAAATATTTGTGATTTTATTTGTTTTTGTATATTGTTTGTTTGTGTATTTTAGATGATCGATTTAACTTTTTTTTCTGGGATATTCGATACAAACTTGCTTCCATGCATATGAGGACGGTCAAAGCAGGGACATTTTTATTTTTGTTTGTAATCATATATGTGGTTTTATAGTTATAATATAGTTATATATTTATATTATACTACATTTGCTATTTTTATATTTATATCATTTAATTTTTTTAAACTTTTGTTATATTTTTATTTTGATATTTTATAAATATAATGTTTATTTATGGCAAATGCCATAAAAATATTTAGTTTTATTGATATTTTATAAATATGAATGAATTTATTTATAGTCAAAGGATGTTTGATTTTATTAGTTTTTTAAATATTTAGTTTTTTGATTTGTCATATTTTGTAAGATAGATAGGATAGGTTTATAATATTTATTTTAAATAATATTTTATTTGCACTTCCTAATTTGTTGAGGCATTCACATTGAGCTTATGAATGTTTTGTTTAAATTTTTTTTTAAACGTGAGAGGTGATAAATTATTGAAGTATAGGAGTGCATAAAATAAAGAATTAGGGATTTAATTGATAAGAAACCACTAAAGACAAGTAACTGTTGGTGGTACAGCTCCATCTGGGTTTATTTACACATGAAAACAAGCAACAAATAAAAAGATAATGCTGGGGCCAAAATTGAGTTACTGTATGCAGCAAGTTATGGAAAGCACAGCAATGGTTTTAATAGTGAAAACCTTCTGAGAGTCACAGACTTATAGATATTGTGTAAAATTAGACCTATATACAGGTTTTATTGCACATCATGAAATAATTAGCCATACATTTTGTCCACAGCCTTTATACAAACCCAATTCTTGATGTAAGATGTGAACTAAATTTGTTGCTATTCCTGTACAAACTGAATGAGTTTATATGCAGTTAACCATGAAACATTCTCGCTAAGTATTCACTTAATTATTGAATATAAGTTGCCTTGTCAAGGATGCGTATATTTCTGTATCTGTCTTTGAAATAGAGGTTTATTAGAGCTCTGGGAGAAATAACCTGTATTGCTAACCGGCATAAATGTAATTAATATTGACAAATTAATAGCAATTCTGTTATCGTATCAGCACGGATGATCTGTGTAGGCCTTAGCTGGTCAGTGCAATCATCTAGATATATAATTGCTCAGCTATAAAAATAGTTATACATAGTTGAATGAAATCAGCTTCTTAGTTTTTTTTAGATCTACTTTGCTTCCGCATATGCACTTCTTCATTAGTGTTCTCTGATCCCTTTTAATAATACAGTTGTCCTGACAGAGTGTGACAGATACTTTTTGAGGCGGCGTTAATTCTGTAGCCATTCGAGAGCGTTGTTAATTTGCCTCAGTAAGCATTACCTCTTATGTTCTAACATGTGCGGCCTGTGCTGTAGCGACGGCGTCTTGAAGACTGTTCGCAACAAGCCATGGAGGAATACATGAGGGTTTGAAATAACCGTAATAGGGACGACATTACAATAGACCTTGATTGTTAAGGCTTTTTTTCACTGCCTGTGAATAATTCAAACAGGAAGTGCAGACACACAGTATCGAGACTTAAATAAAGGCAAGTCTGGCATCAACACATCCGGATGTCGAAAATCAACGTTCATTCTTACATGTAGCACACATTATATGAAGCACAAGATAACATTCACAGTTGACTGGAAAAGAGTGTGATGTGAGTATGTTGTTACGCTAATGACACAAATGACTTTGTTATCTTGATAGTTTATAAACATTTTTATTCATAGCCAAAAGATGGTTGATTTTTTTTTCCAATGTATTTTTTTTATGATAGATACAACTTTTCTGTTATTGTTGTTGCCTGAGGCTTGCTTCCCTGCATGTAAGGATGGTCAAAGCAGTGATGTTTCATTTTTTAATCATATTTATTATTCCATTTTATTTTTGTTTTATAGTTATAATGTAGTTAAATCATTTTATATTATATTGTGATATTTTATAAATACAATGTATATTATATAGCAAATGCAGAGGTATTTGATTAAATTATTTTGTTTTATTTTGATATATACTATTGATACTGTTACTATTGATTTTATATTTATTCATTAACATAGCAGCAGTTTATTAACTAAAACTGAAACTATTCAAATCATTTTCGTAAATTTAAATAAAGCAAAAATATATTATAATTATATGATTAATAATAAATAATAATAAAATAAGTTTAGCAAACTGTCCAAAACTAAAGCTAAATTGAAATGTTATAATACTAATGATAATGATAATAATAATAATGACAAAAGCACATAAAATTACGAAATCTAAAATGAAAACTGAAAATATAAAATAAAGAAAATTCTAAATATTAATTCTCTATAATAAATTATTTAATTACTATCAAACACTATTAATTATGCATTATAGAATTATTACTGTTACCTTTTATATTATAATAATAATTGTAAAATGTAACCCTGGACCACAAAACCAGTCTTAAGTCGCTGGGGAATATTTGTAGCAATAGCCAAAAATACATTGTATGGGTCAAAATTATAGATTTTTATTTTATGCCAAAAATCATTAGGATATTACAGTTTTTCCAATTGCTAACATCCCTTTGTCCAATCTGTAGTCTTCAAAACTCTATACACAATTAGCACAACATCCGTCTGTGGTGACCATACCATTAACACAATTTGTGTTGTTTTCACACAATATTCAGTCAATTAACACGTTTCTAAAATGCTTACATTTTTACCCCATACCAAAATAATGGATCTTTCTTAGCTTTTTTTACAAAAGCTTAGACACAGCATGTCAGAAATCAAGACCTAATATTCCAAACTTTAAATATAGTGTAAAGCCTCTTGAAATAAATCTTTATATATAAAATATTGTAACAACTGATAAGCATTTTTAAGTAACATATCACTGAAATATTTTTTTTGATGCAGAACAACACAAATAATCAAAGAGAGAAAAAAATAATGCCTGGGAGAAGAAGAGGAATAGTTGTAGGAGGGAGAGGAGTATTTTTTAACTTGAGCCAATGAAAAATAAATAACTTGCCCTAACACATGTGGAACCTATGAAAGCTTATTTCTGCCATGGAATATAAAGGGTAAAGGGTAATTGTGACTTTTTTTATCTCAAAGTTCTGACTTTTATTTCTTGCAACTGTGAATTTATCTCACAATTCTGATCAAGTCTGAATTGCAAGATATAAACTCGCAATTTCAAGAATAGAAGCCCAAATTGTGAGATAAAAAGTCGACAATTACCATTTTAACTTTTTTATTCTGTGACGGAAACAAGCTTGCATAGTAACCAAAGGCCATGTATGTTGGGATTTTTGTTGATCACTGGCATCGGCTACCATGGGGGCACCATCCGCATCCCCCACCCACTGGAAAGCAATTTAAATCAAGGTTCCAATTGAATTTCTGTGTTGGGGACCCTATTTTTTTCTATTGTGCATTCTATAAAGTTATGACATATGTTGCCAAGAATGAACACATTCAACACTTAAAAATGTAAAATAGGTTTCAGTTGAAGGTAACTAAACTACAAAAAAACAATGGATGTTTATATTGTCTGTATGCAGGTAGAACTGAAACATGACAGGTAATTCAGTTTTTGTAAAGTCATCAGCTGTTAGTATTTTGACAGTCACTGTGCTATGATTTGTTCCTGTTGGATAGAAAAGTAGGGCGAATGTTTTGACCGAATGACTCGATTTTGAATCGGGTTTGCTGTGTTTTAATAGAGTTAGTATGTAGAAAAGGGTATTCAGCATTTTGAAATGTAGAGTTTGTATTTATTTAACAAAATTTGGTTTTGACCAGAAAATGAACTATTTGGCTAATTGTGTCATGTAGGTGTGTTGCTGTGTTAAGAGTTTAGAAAAAGTACTGATAAACGCTTGTTAGCAATTGAAAAAAAAACTGTAAGTAAAGATCATGTTCCATGAAGATATTTAGTAAATTTCCTACCGTAAATATATTAAAACTTCATTTTTGATTAGTAATATGCATTGCTAAGAACTTCATTTGGACATCTTTAAAGGTGATTTTCTCAATATTTAGATTTTTGTTTTTGCACTCTCAGATTTCAAATAGTTGTATCTCGGCCAAATATTGTCCTATCCTAACAAACCATACATAAATGGAAAGCTTATTTATTCAGCTTTCAGATGATGTATAAATCACAGTTTCGACAAATTGACCCTTATGACTGGTTTTATGGTCCAGGGTCACATATGTATTATAAGATACAATACAATAGATTATTATCTTATTTTGATGCTATTTTTGAATGGTTTCCAGATGCCCCTACTGTTCATATGAAGTCTGATCCTGTGTATGTGAACGTGGGAGACACCGCTGACTTACTGTGTGTCGCTGATGCCAACCCCATCAGCTACAGTATGTTTTCCTGGAAGTGGATGGTGAGCGATGTCTTTGTCATTTCTGTTTTGCTTTCTCTTTTGCTTATTCTCATCCTTTTCCCACTATATTGTCCTTTGTTAGCTCCGCTCACTCACTATCTCTCTTATTTATCACCTCTATTTATCTCTCGCATCTCTCCTCTTTGTCTCTACCTCCCTCTTTCTCTCTGACTTCTCTTTTCTAAGCATGTGTCACAGCTTCTCTGTAACAAAGGTGCTATATTTTACCCTTCTTCTAACTATAACAATGTCTCACCTTTATGCTTAATACTTCTGGCCTAAATGGAGAAAAATAGCTTTCATTAAAGCTTCCTTTCCAAAGGCCTCATTTCTCAGTGTTAGGCGCAATTGGGGACGTTTCCGACCATTTCAGCATCGATAGGGCCCCACGTTCTTAGTGTCTGCGATATCTCAAGCCACCCTCTTTTTCTGTCTGGTTTTATGTGCGTAAGTGGGAAAATGGATGTTGGTATGAAGTCGTTGCCCTTTTTTGGCTTTTTCTAACTTTTTGTTTGTGAGTTTGTGGCTTTTCTATGGGTTCTACAGGTGTGTGTGTGTGTATGTGTGTTTTATATATAGGGTGAAGGGGAAGTCGATGATCTGGGAGAGGAGAGTGAAGATGAAGGCACTGGTTTGTTAACTCTTTACGAGGTGACCCGTGACCGGGCAGGTTTTTACAAGTGTACAGCGGACAACGGCATAGCGCCTCCTGGCAGTGTGGAAGGACAGCTCATCGTACGCTGTGAGTTCTGCTAGTCACACTATACAGCATAACTGTGTTAAGAGAGATATTAACTAGAAAGTCCAGACTTTTCTTTTGAGAACAATGAAAATGAATGTGGCCAGGAAGTGTCAAGCTTCAAAAAGAACGATAAAAGTATAATCGAAGTAGTCCATATGACCAGTGGTTATCGTCAACAAAAATGGCTGATGAAAATGGTTGTTTTTTAAATTGTGTTAAATGACGAAACATGTTTAAATGAATATATAAACTGTTGGAATACTTTTAATTTTGCACTTTCTCATCAACTAAATTGAATACATTTTAGTTTGAGTGAAACTGATAAAAAAAAAACCGAATATGAGAGGATTAAATACTGACTAAATATTAAGGATATTTTTGTGACGATTAAAACAAAAACTGTTTAAAAATGAGCACTGTATATCACTTGAATGCTATTGAAGCTATACTGTAGCTTTGTGTGAGGAACAGTAAATTGTGTTAAATGATGAAACATGTTTAAATGAATATATAAACTGTTGGAATACTTTTAATTTTGCACTTTCTCATCAACTAAATTGAATACATTTTAGTTTGAGTGAAACTGATTAAAAAAAACGAATATGAGAGGATTAAATACTGACTAAATATTAAGGATATTTTTGTGACGATTAAAACAAAAACTGTTTAAAAATGAGCACTGTATATCACTTGAATGCTATTGAAGCTATACTGTAGCTTTGTGTGAGGAACAGACTGCAGTTGTATTCAGTAGTAACTTAAAACATAATCTCTTACAAAAATATAACAAAATAAACACTACCGTTCAAAGTATGAGGTTGGTAAGTTTTTTTTTTTTTTTTAAGAAAGTACTACTTTTAATCAGCAAAGACGCATTTAGTTTATCTGAGGTGGCAGTAAAGACATGAATAATGTTACAAATAAATCCATTTCAAATAAATGCTGTTTGTTTGAATTTTTTATTCATCAGAGGGTCCTGAAGAAATGTCATGTTTCCACAAAAATATCAAGCAGCACATTAACATTGATAATAATGAGAAAGGTTATATTAGAATGATTTCTGAGAATTATGTGACACTGAACTAGAACTATTATGTGATTACTGACTAGAGTAATGATGCTGAAAATTCAGCTTTGCATCACATGAATAAATTACATTTTAATATATTAATATTGATTGCATGTTGCAGTTTTCATTGTATTTTTTTATTCAAATAAATGCAGCCTTGGTAAACATAAGAGACTTATTTCAGAAAACATTTCTTTCACACTTATTTCAAAACAGACACAGACACACACACACACACACACACACACACACACATATGTGATTACTGACTAGAGTAATGATGCTGAAAATTCAGCTTTGCATCACATGAATAAATTACATTTTAATATATTAATATTGATTGCATGTTGCAGTTTTCATTGTATTTTTTTATTCAAATAAATGCAGCCTTGGTAAACATAAGAGACTTACTTCAGAAAACATTTCTTTCACACTTATTTCAAAACAGACACAGACACACACACACACACACACACACACACAAACAGTACTATACTATATTCAATAAACAGTGCACTGATGATAAGGCATCTGGTCTGAGCAAGGGTTTGTCTAATTGTAAATGAGTACTGGTCTTTTAAACACTTGTTCTATATTTCTGCAGTTGCTCCAGAGCTTCAGAAGGGGCCTCAGTGGAGGAAGGTGGCCAGCCGAGGGGACGGCAGCAGCGATGCAAATGTGGTTTGTCAGGCACGAGGCGTTCCTCGTGTCCACTTCACCTGGGCAAAAAAAGGATTCCCTTTAGACCTCGGCAACCCCAGGTGATCTGCTCTTGTCATTAGTAGCTTCATCCAGCATGGGTTATCATGCTCTGCTGCATGCTCTCTGGTTTGTTGAAGCTACGTCCATTTGAAAACGTCCTATTTAAAAACAATGTCTTTATACACTTCTAAAAAAAGATAACCCACTATAGAGTTATAATTTGAGTATATATGATTATAATTTGCTTAATTTAAAAACAGTATAAATCAATGAGAAGTTACCATATCGATAGCTCTGTAAACACTGTGTGTGTTTTTCAAGAGAGGTGTTGTTCTGCACGTGCAGCAGCCATGATCATGTACTTGCGCGTGTGTGTGGAATGACAGTGCTGTGTGTGTGCATGTGTTTTAGAGCTTGTAATGATTGGTGTTTGTTAGGGCTTGCAAGGCTGCATTGTATTATAGATACTCCTCAAACATTGTTTGTATTCTTCTCCACAAGTTTTGTTTTTTTTTTGTATTCAGTTTTAACCACTTAACAAAGACTCTTGTCATACTTTTACTTCATGGTTAATTTCAGCCTTAGATATGCTATCCATCCATCTGTCACGTAATGTATATATTTATATCAATCTGTATCTGTATCTGTGTAAATGTATTTATATATATATATATATATATATATATATAACAAAGCGTGAAAAATTTAAGGGGGTCTGAATACTTTCCGTACCCACTGTATATATATATATATATATACTGTAAAAACAGTAATATGGTGAAATGTTATTACAATTTAAAATAACAGATTTTTTTGGTTTAATATATTTTTAAATGTAATTTATTCCTGTGATGCAAAGCTGAATTTTCAGCATCATTATTCCAGTCTTCAGTGTCACATGATCCTTCAGAAATCATTCTGATATGCTGATTTGCTGCTCAGGAAACATTTATTATTATTATCAATGTTGATTTGTTTTTTTTTGTTTTTTTGCTGCTTAACGGCATTTATTTGAAATATAAACTTTTGTAACAATATAAATGTCTTTAATGTCATTTTTGCTCAATTTGATGCATCCTTGCTGAATAAAAGTATTAATTGATTTTTTTTTTAAAGTTTTAAATGACAGATTCCACAAAAATATTTAGATAGATGGATGGACAGACGGATAGACAGATAGATAGATAGAGCAGGATTTTTTCATTTGCATTCTGAAGAATGCTTTTCTTTCTAAATAACTATATAGTTATAGATTTGTTGCTTTTGCTGATTTTCAATTCCTTCAGGAAATGCCAAATGCGAATCTGTTTTGATTGTGTTTCAGTACTAAATATCTCATATATGTGTTTTTGTGACTTTATTTTACAGGTACGAGGAGAAGACGGAGGTGACAGCGACCGTCCACACCAGCATTCTGACTGTCATAAACGTGAGTGCAGCGCTGGACTACGCCATCTTCACCTGCACCGCCCACAACAGCATGGGAGTGGACTCTCTCGACATCCAGCTCCTCAGTACCAGTACGTACAAACAGGAAGTGAGCATTTCAGTGCCAAGCTGGAGCGGTCAGCTTCACCTGACTGGTCAGGTCACCTTCTCTTGACCCCTATTGAAAGGTGAACGTGAATTAGCATAATTGTGTGAATAAGTAAAAATGCAATAGATGAAAACAAACAGACACGGGCGTCTGGGTGTCACATTTCTAATCTCCAACTCATAAGCGCACACAAAGATGATGAGCAGAACCATGAAAGAGATTTCTCTCAGCAATGAGATTTTGATTTTCTCGACCTGAGCAGCAATTGTGATATTAATTATTCAGTTGTGGTAATCAACACCCGCTCTTCTTCAGGCTGTCCCTTAATTTACAGAACAATAGGGTCGAACGATCTGTGTACCTCTCTCTCACAATGACCCCCCCCCCCCAATATATATATATATATATATATATATATATATATATATATTTGTTAGTTGTTTGCTGTGTGCTGTCTTTCTGTTGCTCTCTCTGTTTCTCTAAGGTCTGTGGAATTGACTTGGGCAGGCATGTTTAATGTTTATCATAAATACCATGAAATACAATCCAATATCCACCTCTTTTTGTCCACACCACCTCCTCTGTTTTTACTGCCATGAATATTCATAATTAATCTGACACAGCGGTAATAAATTGTATGTGCTTCTTATCATCAGTCGACTGGGGAACGGAATGGTGCAGATTTTTGCTCCCTGCTTTGCGATTTTGGATTGACCCCTTCACCCTCTTCCAAGAGAGCCAACAAGATAATTAACTAGTTTCATAGTGAAGTGTATTATTGATGCATATTTCTTTCTGACTGTAGAGTAGCCTGTTAATAATTTTTTTTGTTGTCTCTATCTGTCTTTCAATCGCACTTAAATAAACATTCTCCGAGCAACGCAATAAGATTCAGGCAGTAGTTGTATTTTTAATGAGCTTGTGTTCTCTCTGTTTCTCTGTGTGTGTCTCAGACCACCCCGATCCCCCATCAGACCTGAAGCTGCTCCGTGTCGATCATAACTCTGTAACTCTGGAATGGATGCCTGGATTTGACGGTGGTTTGACACAGAACTTCCGTGTCAGGTGAAGTTGTCATAAATGCCGCTGTGAGGTGTCTAGAACATGTGGTGTGTGTTGTGGGTATGTTTTATCTCTCAGTCTCTAGTGTGTCACAACACTGCACACATTTCAGTTGGCTGATGTATAAATGTTTTTTATCTAAGTCTATGGCACCGTAATTCCAATATGACTCCCTGATAGGAAAGGCAGGTTTATTTTTTATGTCACAGCTCATAGTAATTCAGTCCTGTCTGGTCCAGAAGTTTGAGACCATGATGAAAGTAAGAAATTCTAAATCTGACTTAAATTAAATAAAAAAATTAATAATAATAAACAACAAATCTTTAAAAATTATATTTAAATCTGAAAACATTATTATTTTTTTTTAGAATTTGAAAAAATTTTAAACAAAAGTTATTATGTAAAATGTATAAGATATATTTAAGGTTCCCATTCAGTCAGTCACGTTCTACGTTACGTCAGTGACTGACGAATTGGGATCTCGCCCGAGAGCCCAATCACCTTCGAGTGTAAACTAAACAAGCCAATGACAGTTGG